TATTTAAACTAAAAAAATTTAAATGGCTCAATCACAATTAAATATAAACAACTAGTGGTGTATGACATCGTGCCTTAAGGCAAATTGCTGGAACTTCCCGTACCATAATAAATTTTTGGAAATTAAAAAAAATAAAATAAAGATAAAAAATTTTTTCCAAAAGCAATCGTTTCCTCAACACAAGCTGAAACTTTTTTGAATCATTCAAATCGGATGCTTAGTTCTCTCAAAAACTGCCATTTTTTGCACATTTAGCTCCGTATCTCCGAAACGGCTGGACCTGTCTTTACTAAAAACTAGTCACCACTTCTCCCAATCATTACAAATTGAATGCTTTTGAATCATTCAAATCAGATGCTTCGTTCTCTCAAAAACTCGATTTATATTTTCTGCACTCTTTGCTCCGCACCTCCGAAACGGCTGAATCTGCCTTTGCCAAAAACTAATCAGCACATCTCCCTATCAATAGGAATCGAATGTTTGTTAAACCATTGAAATCGGTTGATCTGTGCGCCCGAAAACGTAGACAAAAAATTGTACATACATACATACACTACACATCAATTTTTCTTAAGGTATGCCAAAATGTTCAGAAACCTTTGAAGCGTAAAGATATGCAGAATTGCTCAATTTCGATTTTTAGACGATTACAATAACTTACCATGCGGGAAATTAAAAAAGTATCAGAAAAACATTAGCTTCACGGAGGAGAAATCATTAAATTTTTTCAAGTCATTCTGAATCGTTTGAGACCAAAATTGGAAGAAGAAGAAAAACTATCATCGACGTTTTCTCCAAAACAGCTAGAATATTCATATGATTTCAAAAATTTAAAAGTCAATCGTTAAAACTTGGGTGTTGTTGGTTGGTTTTGATAAGTGTAAGCCTGTAGTTTTTTTTTACCTTTCAAGTCATACTGAATCGTTTGAGACCGAAATAGGTAAAAGTATGTGCGTGTGTATGTGACCTTACGTCGACGTGTTCTCAAAAACGGCTGGACCGATTTCAAAAATTTAAAGGTCATTCGTTAGAAACTTGGGTGTTGTTGGTTGGTTTTGATAAGTGTAAGCCTTTCAAGTCGTTCTGAATCGTTTGGGACCGAAATTGAAAAAAGTATGTCCGTATGTACGTGAGTCGACGTTTTCTTAAAAACGGCTGGACCGATTTAAAAAATTGAAGTCATTCGATGAAACTTGGATTGTTGACTGGTTTTGATGAATGTTGGTTAGTTTCTGTTCGATGAATATTTAAAAACCATTCTAAAAATATCATTTGGTAATCGTGCTAATTAGTTTTCGGTAAAGATCGGCTGGGCCGTTTCCTCAAAAATAAAAGGTGAATATCTTTGGCGTTTTAATGAAATTTAACATAGCAATAATGCTTGTCATGGGAAATATTTTAAAATATTATAGTCCTACGAAAAGTGGTTAAATTAAAAACTAGCTGTAAGTAGAATTCTGTCTTAAGGCAATTAAGGCATCGTGCCTTAAGGCAAATTGCTGGAACTTCCCGTACCAATTATCATTATTTTTTTTAAAAACGATTAACATTTTTGAAAAAAAAAATTTCTTCAAAAAAATAAGATTTTTGACAAACAATTAGACAAAAAATTACTTTTTTTGAAAAAAAAAAATTTGTAATTTTTTTTTTTGACAAAAAATGTTTTCTTTATTTTGACATATTTTGAAAGATCTAAACTTTTTTAACTTCCCGTAGGGTAAGTTATAGTAATCGCAAAAAAATCGAAAATGAAAATTTTTGCATTTCTCGACGTTTCAAAGGTTTCTGAATACACTGGGGCCTCGCTTTACGGCCTAGATACGTTCCGCAAAACTTGGCCGTAAAGCGAAAAGCCGTATAACGAATCAATTATTCTAATACGTATTCATACAAATTCAATGGGATCGGTTCCAAATTTAATAAATATATAATATGGTTTATCATTCAAAATGCATTTTATTTTTTTATTTTATTTAAATTATAAACATATTTAACAAGAACATAAATTTTACATAATATAAAAAACTTCAAAAACATTCCATAATTTTTAAATACAGACCACTGTCACCATCATTTTGCGCTGGTGGTTTGAAAAATTTAGATGATGTGATTGATTTGTGATTTATAACAGCTAATGGCTGAGTTAATTCCTCGAGAGACATTAGTGCTACGTTCGACGTCAGGATCGTTTTCAAGGAAGATGTTATTCCTTGTTCAAAATATGAAAAAGCGCTCGACATGATTTTTGATGTTAGCTGTTTGGATACAACAGGTTCTGTATCTTCATCAATTGCCGGCTCTGCTTGCAACTGATTAGCTGCAAGTAGATCCAGCACATCAGATTCGTTTAAATCTTCAAAACCGAGATCATGTGCTAAATCCAAAATGTTTTGTCTAACTTCAGGAAGGAAATTAACTTCTGCATCGGTAGTTTTTATACATTCTGGCCATATTTCTTTTCCAAACATGATTCATTGTTGTCGATTTCAATTCCTTCCAGGATTCACTAATGTTCTCAACAGCATCCTTGATATTATAGTTTTTCCAAAACGTTTGAACCTTTGAAACGTAAAGATATATAAAAATTTTCATTTTCGATTTTTTTGCGATTACTATAACTTGCGCTACGGGAATTTAAAAAAGCCGTTATAGCGAAACATTTTAGGCCGTATATCGAAAACGTTCCTTAATTAAAGAGGGCCGTTATAGCGAAAGGCCGTATAAAGAGCGGCCGTATAGCGAGGCCTGGGTGTATTTTGGCATACCTTAGAAAAAATGGATGTATGTGTGTGTGTGTGTGTGTGTGTGTGTGCGTGTGTGTATGTATGTGCGGATACAAATTTTCGTCGACGATTTCGGGAACACCGATCAACCGATTTGATTAATTCAAAAAACATTCGATTCGTATTGATAAGGAGACGTGCTGATTCGTTTTTGGCGAAGTCAGGTCTAGCCGTTCCGAAGATACGGGACAAAAAGTGCCAAAAACGGTAACTCAGTTTTTAAGAGAACGGAGCGTCCGATTTTAATAATTCAAAAAACGTTTTACTTGCATTGACAAGGTGAAATACCGATCAAATTTGCATAAAGGCAGGTCTAGCGGTTTCGGAGATCTAATGAAAAAAGTAAAAAAAAATGCCATTTGGCGGTCAAAAATGATCATTAGACATATGCACATCAAATTATCAGATATTTTATAGAGATTTTAACAATAAGTATATAATTTTGGTTTACATTCCTATGGGTTCCGTACCAATGTTTACGCGTTAGACGTCGACGCGGAGCTTACGCGGTTTGATATTTCGTCTTTATGCAGTTAAAGCAGTACGATTGCTTTGAAAAAAAGTTTAGATCTTTCAAAATATGTCAAAATAAAGAAAACATTTTTTTTTTTAAAAAAAAAAATTAAAAAAAATTTTTTTTTCAAAAAAAGTAATTTTTTGTCTAATTGTTTGACAAAAATCTTATTTTTTTGAAGTAAATTTTTTTTAAAAATGCTAATCGTTTTTAAAAAAATAATTTTTGGTACGGGAAGTTCCAGCAATTTGCCTTAAGGCACGATGCCTTAATTGCCTTAAGACAGAATTCCACTTACAGCTAGTTTTCAAAGCAATCGTACTGCTTTAACTGCATAAAGACGAAATATCAAACCGCGTAAACGCCGCGTCGACGTCTAACGCGTAAACATTGGTACGGAACCCATAGGAATGTAAACCAAAATTATACTTATTGTTAAAATCTCTATAAAATATCTGATAATTTGATGTGCATATGTCTAATGATCATTTTTGACAGGCAAATAGCATTTTTTTTTACTTTTTTCATTAGATCTCCGAAACCGCTAGACCTGCCTTTATGAAAATTTTATCGGTTCTTCACCTTGTCAATACAAGTAAAATGTTTTTTGAATTATTAAAATCGGACTCTCCGTTCTCTTAAAAATGAGTTACCATTTTCGGCACTTTTTGCCCCGTATCTTCGGAACGGCTAGACCTGACTTCGCCAAAAACTAATCAGCACTTCTCCTTATCAATACGAATCGAATGTTTTTTGAATTATTCAAATCAGTTGATCGGTGTTCCCGAAATCGTCGACGAAAATTTGTATCCGCACATACATACACACACACATACATCCATTTTTTCTAAGGTATGCCAAAATATTCAGAAACCTTTGAAACGTCGAGAAATTAAAAAATTTTCATTTTCGATTTTTTTGCGATTACTATAACTTGCCCTACGGGAAGTTAAAAATCATTGAAATTTTAAGTAATATGCCGTTGTTTTAGGACATACAATTAAAAAATAGGTGTTTGTAATAAGAGGGTGAAATTTTAGGAGTGTATATGATTTTCAATTACAAATTATAATAAAAGAAAATAAAATAAATTAGTCCGAAAACTAGTAAAAAATCTTAAGAGCGTCATAGTGAAAGTGATTATAAAATTTTATAAAAATCGGTCAAGCCGTTTCGGAGGAGAATTGTCACTAACATTATGAAACGAGGATTATTTATATATATATATATATATATATATGTATGTATGTATAGATAGTATTTATGTATGTATAGATATAATGATTACAATTTCTTCGTCAGTATTAAAGTGTGTCTCGTGCTAATAGCATGTGTCGCCTTTTTATAATTTAACGTTCATCAATTTAATTTAATTAAATTAATTAACTTAGTTTTAGATAAATAAATATTTAAAGTGTGCCATAAATGAATATAAAAATGTATAATTAATTACTTTATTTAATATGTTATAAATAAATTGTGGTTATATTTAATTTAAAAGTTATAAAATTATTTGTTTATATTTAATCAGAAATTAATAAATAAACAAATTATATATAATAATTGGATTTAAACAAATTATAGAATTATTTATTTATAAATAAATAAATTATAAACAAATAAATAGTTTAAAATATAAATTCATAATTTTCATTTTAACTGATTAATATTAACAAAATTATGTTTTTTTTTGTTCATGGTATAAAAATTGGTGAATGATGACCCACATCTAGCATCGAAACGTACGGAAAAAATGTATTAACTTCCCGTAGGGTAAGTTATAGTACTCGCAAAAAAACGACAATGAAATTTTTAGATATCTTTACGTTTTAAAGGTTTCTGAACATTTTGGGATACCTAAGAAAAAATCGATGTATGTGTATGTGTATGTGTTCGGATACAAATTTTTGTCGACGATTTCGGGAACACGGTTCAGGGAATAATTAAATCGATTCCTATCGATAAGGAGATGTGCTGATTAGTTTTTGGCAAAAGCAGGTCTAGCCTTTTCAAAAATACAGGACAAAAAATGCCAAAAATGGTGTATCAGTTTTTGAAAGGACAGAGTGTCTGATTTGAATAATTCAAAAAACATTTTACTTGTATTGACGAAATGAACAATTGGTAAGATTTTTGGCAAGGCAGGTCCTGCAATTCTGGTAATCCAATAAAAAAGTATAAAACAATGCAATTTGGAGGTCAAAAATGATCATTAGACATATGCGCATCATATTTTCAGATATTTTATAGAGATTTTAATAATAAGTATAAATTTTGTGCACATTTATATGGGTTCCGTATCAATGTTTACACGTGTGACTACGACGCAGCGCTTATGCGCTTCGAAATTTCAACTTTAAAACAGCTATGCAGCGCGATTGCTTTGGAAAAGTTTAAAATTTTCAAAAAATTTCTAAATATAAAAAAAATTCTAATTTTTCAAAAAATTCAATATTCTCAAAAATCTATTTTTTTCAAAGTTTTTTTAAAAAAATAATGTTTTTTTTTCAATTTAGTTTTTGGTACGGAAAGTTCCAGCAATTTGCCTTAAGGCGCGATGCCATGCACCACTAGTTTTATTTTTGATTAATATTACATTTTAATTATTATTAACAATTCTTTAATTATATGTTTCGACACTTGACATGTGTCATTACTCAGCAATTTATGTATAATAGTTATGTACATACAAATGCATAGGGTGTACATAAAAAAAAAACAAATTCTTTGTAAAATATGTGCATACATGAGGAAACACTAAACACAAAGTTAAAACATTAATTTATGAAAAATTTAATTAAAACTTCAACTTTTGTGCTTTGATTTATCTTGTTTACTTTTATAATTTTAATAATAAGTTTTTTACTTTTATTTTTTTTAATACTCTTCTAATAAATGTTTACATCATAAATTCTATTCTATCAAAAATTTATATTGCAACAAAAATAATAAAAAAGTTCTAATAATTTTTTCTATAATAAATTATATTACCAACAATATTTTTTTTAATGGAGTTTGGTTTTACTTAAACGAAGATGGAGTTTCTTTTACAAAATGATTAAAAAACAAATTCCCATAATTTTTATATCATAAATTCTATTCTATCACAAAATTTATTTCAGAAATTTAATTAAAATCTGTAACTTTTGTGTTTTATTTTTTTTGGCCTACTTTTTGAAAATAATTTGATAAAAATCAATATTATGATACAAATTTTACAACTGTATGGCTAAATTATAAAATAGGTTTAATGAACAAATGATGTAAATTGAAAGCCAAAAATCAAATAAACAAAACTTTTACAAATTTTATACTACCATAAATTTAATTAACAACTTTAACATTTGTATTGAGTTTGCCCTCATGTATATCTTTTACAAAATAAATTTAAAAAATATTTCAATAATTTTTGCTATTCACAAAAATTCAAAATTCAATTATAGTTTTTTGTAGCTATTTTGCAGTTGCTGAAATATGACACATGACAAGTGTCAAATAAAAAAATATCAATATTAATAAATGTTATATCTTATATATATAAAATTCTTCTCTACGGATGCATGATTTTATACTTCTCCTAAACGGTTATTCGGATTTTGATAAGTCTTTTTAGAGTTTGTCAAAGGAAATGTTTAAGATTTAATGAACGATAAAACTATAGTAATATTGTAGAAATAAATGGCAAAAATTACAAAAAAATACTAATCATTGTTTGACATTGAAAACATTCGAACTGTCATCTACTAGAAATGTCAATTCACTTGAAATTTGATTTAGGTGAAATCTCCTGAATTAATTTAGAATATCAAACAGAATATTAAAATAAAAAGTATAGAATAGGATATTAAAAAAATGGTACTTTTGAATTGTAGACATGGGTACAAAACAACGTCTGTCGGGCCATCTAGTATATATATATACATATATATAGATATATATTTATTTATCCAATTTATCTCGATCCATGTAAATCAAAGTCTATTAACCTTGTCGACTCTATTGGTTGATAAGAAATCATTACTTTGTAATTTTAACAAATAAATCATATCTCGTACGATTAAAATCATATGTTAAAATATTATATGATAGATATATAAACAATTTATAATATTGTATAATATTTTAATGCCCTGGAGCAAATCGTTATAGTTTAAAATCACATTTGAAAATAGACAATGGCGGAAATTGAGCTAGAAGTGTATTTATTTTTTATCTCTTGTAACTTTTAAATAATTCGATTAGTATGAATGACGTAATAATCCTATAAACAATTATTAAATATATGCTTCAAAAAATAAAATAACAGATCAAAAAACACTTTATCGTTTATCATAGAGTCATAGATAGAAACGTAAAATGGGCAAAACCGTCCATTTTGTATGGTAAATTTATGAAACCTTGTAACATAACTGCCACGTAACGACCAAAACGTAGTATTTACGTTCAAGCTGCTCAAAGGTTACAATTAAACGTAATATAAACATTTAGTAACGTAGCTGCCACGTAACGAACAAAACGTTGTATTTACGTTCAAGTTGAACAAAGGTTACAAATAAACGTAATATGATCATTTTATTAACGTAACCACCAACAACGTCACGACGTTTCTTCTGTGCTACGTTATTATTTTAACTTTTGTGGTTTACTGGAGTATTGGAAAAAAATTGTACAAGTTTGAACAATCTATAATATTGCATATAATGATATCTAATATCTAGAATATATCTATAATATTATAATGATCTATAGCAACTCACTATACTTTAATTGCATTTCACAAAACATGTTTAAATCAAATGTTCTCAAGAGTTGTGCATTTTTCTTTTATCTCTGGTAAATTTTAAATCATTAGATTAATATAAATGCTGTATTAATCATATAAACAATTATTAAATAAATGCTTCAATAGAATGACAACTCTTGCAGGCAAAGCCGTCCATTTTGTATGGTATATCTATGAAACCTTGTAACGTAGCTCCCACGTAACGAACAAAACGTTGTATTTACGTGTAAGCCAAAACAGTTTATTAACGTAACGACGTTTCGTCTGTGTTATGTTATTTTAACTTTTGTGGTTCACTAGAGTTTTGGAAAAAATTGTACAAATTTAAATAACCTATAATATTGCATTTCAAGCGACTTTTTTGACACGTACAAATCGACCCGCTCTAATATATATTAAATTATCTCATTTCAGATTATATTAATGACAGTGAATAGTAGCATTTAAAAAATGAGAACAGTATTATTAAATTTATCATTATTATTATTAATAATAAATGGACAAAATGCTGAAAAACCAAAAAGACAAAAGAATATTTTGTGCATCATGGCTATGGCATCGCCGAGTCACCACATTTGGTAAGAAAAATAAATCTGCTAATAACGTAATTGTAAATGTATATAGAATCTTTCCAGATTTTTATACATTTTCTTTATATGTAATATACTGAACATGCAACTTACCTTTTTCCTTAGGAACAAAGCAATAATGCAAACCCTGGCATCTAACGGCCACAATGTGACAGCCCTGAGTATAGACACTGATGAAACATCTGGTCCCAACATACACTACTTAAAAATAAACGGCGTGTACGAATCCTTGTATTCAGGAGACGAACCATTTGATTTACTCGAATTCTCCAAAAAATCACTCATAGGAATCACCGTGGACACTGCCAAATGGTTCCTCACAGTCTGCAGAGCCTCTTTAAGATCAGAAGGGGTACAAAGGTTACTAGAGTACCCTAAAGACTTCAAATTCGATTTAGTCATATTCGACTACACAAACTTACCATGTCTCCACGGATTTGTATCCAGATTCAATTCTCCTCCACAAATAGGCATAACTGCTTTTGCCAATCCACCACATACAAGCGACTTGGTGGGGTCACCAAATTTCGTATCACTAAAACCCCATTACACGACCACCATGGGGTCAACAATGTCTTTTCTGGAGAGGCTCTACAACTCCCTCCTGTACTCAGTGGAGTTGGTGCAGAGGAGGATGCTCATCTGGTGGGTAAGAAATGAGGTTAGAGAAGTTTTTGGTGATGACGAGTTGGATGTTGGTGCTTTGGAGAAGGAGGTCGAGTTGGTTATGGTTAATAGTCATCCAGGAATGGATGTGCCTGAGCCGGTGTTGCCTAATGTGATACAGGTTGGGGGGTTGCAGATTAAGGAACCAAAAGCTCTACCAGAGGTAAGGAATAGTAAAGGAATAAAATTTCTTTGAAGTTATAATTGTAACCGGCAACACCGTATGTATTTTTTTCTTTCATTCCATTAATGTCTTCTGAATGTTCTATTATAATATTGTTTTCTATAATCTATTATTAATTATCTAGGATCTCAAGAGGTTCCTGGAGTCTTCAAAAAAGGGTTCCGTACTCTTCAGCCTCGGAACCAATATGAAAAGTGAAATAATCGGCGAGGAAAAGATCAGCATGTTCATCAACGCAATTTCGAGGTTCCCCGAGTACAACTTTTTATGGAAAATCGAACTAGAAAACAGGACTTTCCCGAAAAATCTGATGGTGCGGAAGTGGTTGCCACAGAATAATGTCTTAGGTAATAATGATAATAATAAAAATATAAAAAGTAACTAGGTGTTAGATTTTCTTAAAATCTTTATATTTAATCTTTAAAGTAAAACCTCATGCAAATTCCAGATAGGTAATAATTAATGTTAAATGTTAACAAAAACGTTTATAGATGCTTTTTTATTCATATATAAAGGAATTTATTTAAAATGAATATGAAACTTTATTTCATATTAGCTATATTTCAAGAAAGGTGTCTCTTGTCCAATAAGCTTAAGACGCCTTAAGAATAGATTATACATCAGAAAAAATATGCGTAAATTAGGCAACAGATATATGTTGCCCAACAGGTAATAAATAAAGAATTATTTATATTTCAGCTCATCCCAATATAAAACTGTTTATAACTCATGGGGGCTTATTGAGTTCTCAAGAATCGACATGGCACGGAGTACCCATCATTGGGATGCCCTTTTTCGTCGACCAGCACACGGTAATAAATCTTATATATAAAATTCTTCTCTATAGTATAATATATTGTATTCTATATATAATATATTGTTTGCTTAAATCTTATCAAGATCATGTTTCTTGACAGATGTCCTGAAGATGGGACGTACCTAGTACCAAAACGTCGACAGTAAATAAATAAATAAAGAAATAGTTTATTAAAAAACTTTCTTTGTTTTTTATACTTTTTGGATTCTTGTTCGAAACTCCACAAAATATTCACAAATCCAAGACTCCATATATATATATATATATATATATATACGAGTATATATATATATATATATATATATATATAATGGTTTCTTACATCGATATTTTTTCATTTTATTTTTTTAGAATGTGCAAAAGTCCGTGGACGCTGGTGTCGGCGAAAAATTGGACTTTTTCCAACTCACCGAAGAAATTGTTTATCAGAAAATTAAAATGATATTGGAAAATACCAGGTAATAATAATTATCTATTATTAATTTTTATTATGACCTCAATTAATTACCAAAAAGTATATAATTTTTAGTTACCGTCAAAAGATGGCGCTGCGTTCGTCGCGTTTCCGCGATCGCCCGATGCATCCGCTACAAGAGGCGACATGGTGGTGCGAATACGTGCTAAGGCACAACGGAGCCCCCCACCTGAAGTCCCTGGCGGCAGTTATGGAGGCCCCCGCACTCTTCATGTGGGATCTGATGCTCGTGTGGCTTGGAATATTTTTGGGAGTCGCATTTTTGGTAGTCTTTGGGCTCAGGAAGATCTTTAGGAGAAAAGAAGTTACAAATATTAGACGAAAAGAGTTTGAGGAGAAAAAAATTAGATAAATATATGGTTTTTAGGAAAATGTGAAGATTAGTTCAATTTTATTTGGTGGATGTTGTTTTTGTTGAAAATATTTGTTGTTGATATTTTTTGTGGCACGTTTGTGGCAGTGTTCGAAATGTACAGAGTAAATATTTTTTAATATTTTTTGTTTCATTTATATACAACCACACACATTCATAAACATTTCTACATATTCACGTTTGTACACATTTATACTCGTTTATACACATTTTTAAACTCATTCATAAATATTTATACCCATTCATAAAAACAATTTTTTTTAATTTATACACATTTTTTTCACATTTTTACACGTTTTCATATTTTTTTAAAAAAAATTCTTAACATTAATTTACGTTTATACAAAATTCTTCGAAATAATTACATTTTAGCAGATTTATATACAATTATTTTTTTTGAAAATTTAGGGCTGTACCTTATAAAAAATTAAAATAAAGAGAATTGGTTCCAAATTCAAAAACTAGTGGTGTATGACATCGTGCCTTAAGGCAAATTGCTGGAACTTACCGTACCATAATAAAATATTCCAAGAATAAAATTTGGTAAAAAAAATTAAAAAAATACTTTCTCCAAAAGCAATAGTTTCTTCAACACAAGCAGAATGTTTTTTGAATCATTCAAATCGGATGCTCAAACTCTCAAATTCAAGTATTTGCATATTTAGCTCCGTATCTCCAAAACGGCTAGACCTGCCTTTGCCAAAATCTAATCACCACTTTTCCCCATCATTACGAATTGAATATTTTTTGGATCATTCGAGTCGGATGCACAGTTCTCTCAAAAACACGATTTATATTTTCTGCACTCTTTGCTTCGTATCTTCGAAACAGCTGGACCTACCTGTGCCAAAAACTAATCAGCACATGTCCCTATCAATAGGAATCAAATGTTTTTGAACCATTGAAATCGGTTGATCCGTGTGTCCGAAAACGTACACGAAAAACTATATCTATACATACACATCCATTTTTTCTAAGGTATGCAAAAATGTTCAGAAACCTTTAAAACCAGAAGATATGCAAAATTTTCAACTTTAGATTTTTCGATTTTTGGATGATTATAATAATTTACTGGAAGTTAATATTAGGTTTGGCCAACCCTTAAATAAAAGTTACGTGTTTTGAAGTTAAATTTAAGCTTTTCCAGAAATTCAAGATAATCTTGATCGAAATTCGACGAAAAACATTTATTGAAAGAGGGATGAAAAATTATGCAGTTACTAAAATAACTACTTAAGGGTGGCCAACCCTCACCACTTAGGGGTAGGTGAAATAAATAATGGCTCTGATCTCAATCAAACTGAACGTGATTAAAAAATTTCATAAAAATTAGTCAAACCGTTTCAGATGAGTATTGCGACAAACAACATGATATTACTATATTATTTTATATATTTCGGTAATTTCCGGTAATTCCCCTAAATTACACATATTTAAGTTAAATTATAAAATATTGATTCGTCATCAAATATCATTTAGTTTCCAATAATAATTATAAACAAGAAAAACAACAATAGATAATGAAATGCAAATGAACAAGTCATCGTGGATATTAGAACAGTGTTTATCAAAACGCGGTTCATGGGTTTAAATACATAATTGAAACTTTTTCTCATACAAATAAATGCTCTGCTAACAAATGAAGGTGATTTAGAAGATTTCTAATGGCAATACAAAAACCCCAATTAAATAAGTAGTTAATTAGTAAAAAGCTTTATTATTAACTTTAATTAAGAGACAAATTAATAAACATCTGCATAGGATAAATAAAATAGCAATACCAAGACAAGTCGACATTTATGGACCGATTCTGCCGCACATCAGACCAATGTTTTGGCATGGCTATGTAATGAAGAACTTTCCATACTAAATATTGACAAAAGCCATGTGGTTGCTCTGCAGTCAGGCGTTTTTCTCAGGTTGTCAGGTGGAAAACTTAACCTAGAAACCGCACAACTGTCAAAAAAACGATCTTAGATAACAGGGTATTTCTGACTCAGCTTCCACAAAGCACGTTGCAGTGTATGAGTAAAACGCCTGAATGCACAGCAAATACATAACATTTTGACAGAATTCAGTGTAATTCAGTCGACTTGCCATAGCATTGATCTGTTGTGTGGCCCAGAATCGGCCCATTAAGGTATGGTTTCCAAGAAAATGTTTTATTTCACAAGATACTCTTATAGTAGCATATATTGAGATTTCTTTTATCTTATAGCTAGATAGAAAATCGTAACTAAAAGGTCATCAGCAATTTCACTAATAAGGACTAACTTCAAGATTATTTTAATTAAAGACTAACTTCAAGATGGCGTATTTCAGGGTCCTTAACTTTACTAAAGCTATGGCAGCGCCTCCTTTCGGTTATTATTGTGCATAATTTGGATTTTAATTTGACTATATGCGATAAATAAAATATAATAATGAAAATAAAGTAAAATGCAAGAGTTAATTTGAGAAAAACAAATCTTGCTAAAATTTTTGCTACACTTTTAAACTTTTAAAAGAAATTCTAGTATTTTACGTTAAACTATAATAGAACTTAAAACAATTATTAGTTTTTGAACACAATTGTGCTTTAATTATATTAATAATATATTAATATAATAAATTATTAAAAATATCTCATACTTAGTTTCATTCATTCGTAACAAAAGAACTTGTTTATTTGCAAAATATATTTATAAATAAGCATGGAAATTTCTTTTTGTATATTTAAGATAATTGTATTATAGTAATTATCATTTGTATGTAATTATTATTATAAAATTGTTACAACCTCATTATCATCCTTATCGTCTGATAAGCGAATTATCTAATTTGATAAAAAAAACTAATTATAAAACAAACAAAATTATCTCTAATAAATACATATTAAAAAAAAATTATAATTGTGTTTTTCAAAACAAAATATATAAACTTTTGTAAAACTTAATCACAGTGTAAACTGTAAACTAAATTACTCAGGGCAGGGGAAGAAAACATCCCACAAACACATAACATTTATTTATTTTTTTCATTTTTTTATTTAATAAATTCTCAAACAGAAAATTAGTCTTCTCTAGAAAATCCGACTTGATAAATTTATGTTTATCGACGTCTCAAGTCATTCTAAATCGCTTGAGACCAAATTTGCAAAAACTTTTTTGTGTCCGTATATGTACGTGACCTTTCCTTGTTGTTTTCTTAAAACCGGCTGAACGGATTATGAAACTTAAAATCCATTCGGTAAAACTTGATAAAGACGAGTGTTTATTTAGAAAATTTTAGCTAAATAGCTAATTTTAATTTCTTACTATTTAAGCTGATTATTTATACATATAGGTATGTTTATGCACCTTGCCTTATGACAAAATGCTACTTACACCTAGTTTATTCACTCATTCAGAACAATAAATGTGCACAATAAAAATAGCAAAGAAAAATAACAGTTAAAAAAATAATAAGTGGAGAAAAAATAAAAATATAAAATAATTAATATTGGTTAACAATGGTGCCAACTCTGAAGTATAATAATGGGCCAAAAATCGAAAATGAAACTTTTTGCATATTTTCACGTTTCAGTTGTTTCTGAACGTTTTGACATACCTCAGGAAAAATGGATGCATGTGTGTGTGTATCCGTATGTGTATGTGTGCGGATACAAATTTCCGTCGAGGATTTCGGGAACACGGATCAACCGATTTGAATAATTCAAAAAACATTCGATTCGTATTGATAAAGAGGCGTGCTGGTTAGTTTTTGGCAAAGGCAGGTCTAGCCGTTCCGAAGATACGAGGCAAAAAGAGCCCAAAATCGTAATTCAGTTTTTGAGAGAACGGAGCGTCCGATTTGAATAATTGAAAAAACATTTTATTTGTATTGAAAGAAAAGGCAGGTCCATAGGTTATGAACTCTCAATAAAAAAAGTTGAAGAAATATCATTTGGCGGTAAAAATATTCATTAGACATATGCACGTCAAATTATCAGATATTTTATACAGATTTCAATAGTGTGTCATTTTTTTGGGTTGCGTACCAAGATTTTGAATTTTGAAGTTCATTCATATGGTTCAAACAAATGTCCTCGTCAGTATGGAATAACCGATTTGTCTGATTAAAAAAACATTCGGTTCGTACTCGATCGCAAGGTGTTTTTGCAAAAGGCACGTCTAGCCGTTCCGGAGGAATGGAGCGCAAAGCGTGTAAAAATGGTCATGCAGTTTTTGAGAGAACGGATCATCCAATTAGATTAATTCAACAAACCTTTTGCTTGTGCATACGGTGTGCAAAAAATGCTTTCACAAAAAAGAACAACACAAAAAATCGAAATGAAAATGTTAAAAAAAATCGAATTTTCAAAAAAAATCAAAGAAATTTTCCATCATTTTCAGAAAAAAAATCTAAATTTTGACAAATTTCAAAAAATACCAAAATTTAGGAAAAAAACGATTTCTTACAAAAATTTGGAAACGCTTTGAAATTCTCAAAAAATCGAATATTTTAAAAAAATCCCAATTCACAGAAAATTTTAAAAAAAACATTTTTTTTCAAAAATTCCAAAAAATTCAAAATTTTGAAAAAAATTCAAAATTATCAAAAAAATTAAATTTAAAAAAAAATTAAACAAATTTCTTGTAAACATACACATAAGTTGTTTTTAAAATACGCTCGTCGCCCAATTTATTAAGCACTTATAAATTTACAGTATGTTTCCATAACAAATATTCTATTAAAAAAAAAATCTTATTGAAAGTATCTAAAACAATTATTGATTATTTTCATTCCTCGCTACGGGAAGTTCCAGCAATTTTCCTTAAGCTACGATGCCATACACCAATAGTTTTTCTGAAGTTGGCCACCACTGCCTATTATGCAATTGTCGTTGGCAATTAATTGAACGAGATTATATTAAACGAAGGCGACCATCAGTAGTACTAAGGTCACTTTCAGATACTCATCGACTTCATTTAACAATAAATAGTGTAAGGAAATGTTAGTTTGAGAAGTTTTTTATATGTCAAATATAGTTTAGGAACTTTTGATATAATTTTGGATTTTTAAAAAATATTTTTGTAAAAATTGTCCGGTGGAATGAATGTTTGTTTGAGGTTTGAGAAGTTGGAGATGTTGAAGTGTGAATGTTTAAGGTCTTAAGGACCTAAAAAATTAGTGTAATTTAAAATATTGATAAAAATCGTTAATTTATATAGTGTTTTTAAATATTAAAAATACTTAGAAAATATTTGATACAATTTTAAAATTTTTGGGATCATTTTTTTTATAAATTATTACATTAATATTTGTATAATAAATATTTGAAAATGCATTTTTTTTAACTTATAATTTGAAAATATGTTTTATGTAATTATATTTTTACAAAAATAAATATAAATAATTTTTTTTTCAGCTTCCATCCAAATTTTATGAATATGTCCTTTATAAATTAACCAAAGATAGTTTATAAATTACTATTATTTATTTAATAATAAATTATCCAACCATGTTTTTATCAAAAAATTGTTTAATTTTAACAATTTTTGCATTATTTATAATTAATACAAAATGTGATAATAAAGTTGTTAAAAAAAGTGAAACGAAATTCAAAGGAAACATTTTATGTCTGATGACGATTGCCTCACCCAGCCACCATATATGGTAAGTAAAAGTACTTTTTTGAGTATACCGAGTTGTAGTAGGGTCCCATGATAACAGATAATGTTATGAGGCATTTAATTTTGAACAAATTTTTCGAAATCACCATCTGAATTAATTAAGTGGTTTAGAAGTTATATAAGATGCTTGAAGTTTATGCAAGTACTTATTTGAGTCATGTTAAATTGGATTTTTAGATACCAAGTTACTGTAGGGTGTTTTGTTTTTGGAAAAAGTAGTATTAGATACTTTAATTTTATACAAGTCCTATACATCATTCATACCAAACAAATACACTTCTAACACACTCGAACCGAATATAATTCTTAACTCTTTGGGGACGGCTGTCCACCTGAGTGGACAAACACACTCTGTGAGGCACAGGCTATTTTATAAACAATGACTCAGTTTGCATCGAAAAGTTGAATAAATTATATATAGTAGTGATAAACAGTGTTGTATTTTGAAAATAATTTTAAGTTATTTTAGCAGTATTTTTAGCCTTTTTCTTTGCTATATAGTCTTTTTTTAAATATTAAAAACGACCGAGCGCTTTTAAATATGTCAAAATAAACTAGCTATGCATTTTGGAAATTGTTTTAAACGTTACCATTCGTTATAAAATGATCAAAAATAAATTAATATTTAAAATGCAGGTCCTTCAATGACCACAAATTTTTATCAAACAAATTGCATTACACTCACAATGAAATAAAGTTTACAGCCAGTACAGTAGATTGTTTGAAATCGGTGCCGTCCCATAAGTGTTAAGTAGTTCAGAAGTTATATAAGATGCTTGAAGTTTATGCAGGTACTTCTTTGAGTCATGTTAAATTGAATTTTCACAGGATACCAAGTTATAAGCAGAAAAAATACATTTTTAAGTATACCGAATTGTAGCAGGTTATCATGATGTTAGACAATGTTATGAAGAATTTAATTTTATAATAAAGTTTCCGAAAACAGCGTCTAAATGAATAAAATGGTTTAGTTAATGCAGGTACTTCTTTGAGTCATGTTAAATTGAATTTATAGAGGATACCAAGTTATAAGTAGAAAAATACTTTTTTAAGTATACCGAGTTCTAGCAGGCCGTTATGATGTTAGACAATGTTATAAAGTTTTTAATTTTGAATAAATTTTCCGAAAACACCAGCTGAATTAATCAAATGGTTTAGAAGTTATGCAAGATATTTGAAGTTAATGCAGGTACTTCTTTGAGTCACGTTAAATTGAATTTTCAGAGGATACCAAGTTATAAGTAGAAAAAATACATTTTTGAGTATACCGAGTTGCAGTAGGGCACTATGATGTTAGAAATTTTTTTAAAGTATTTAATTTTGAACAAAATTTCCGAAAACATCATCTAAATTAATCAAATGGTTTAGAAGTTATGTAAGATATTTGAAGTTTACGCAGGTACTTATTTGAATCATGTTAAATTGAATTTTCACAGGATACCAAGTTATAAGTAGAAAAAAAATCATTTTGTGTACACCGAGTTGCAGTAGAGCACTATGATAAGGCGGCGTCCATTAATCACGTGAGGTGTTTAGGGGTAGGGGGGGTTTGACAAAAAATCACAATATATCACGTGAGGGAGGGAGGGATATAGTAAGATATCACGTGTATTTATTTTTTAACTGAATTTTTTTAAAAAATCAAACATTTTCAAAAAAAAATTAAACGTAAGATTATAACGTAACTAAAAATACATGTGATGTTTGGCGGGGGAGGGGGGGGTCCAAAAATCCTTAAAAACTGGCTCACGTGATTAATAAACGCCCCCTAATAGACTATATTATGAAGTATTTAATTTTGAACAAATTTTCTGAAAACACCATCCGAATTAAACAAATGGTTTAGAACTAGAAGTTATGTAAGATATTTGAAGTTTATGCAGATACTTCTGTGAGTCATATTAAATTGGATTTTTGCAGAATACCAAGTTACTGTAGAGTATTTTATTTTGGAAAAAAGTAGTAGTAAATACTACTAGGCGCAGATAAGTTACACACATGAAGTTGGCTGCGCAAGTACACTTTCGTATCGTAAACCTCTGGCGGATATAAATGAAACTAGTTATATATCTTTTTATATGTAAAAAAGGAGCTCGATATTATGTTAGGTATGATAAAACTATAAATTGGCTGTACGGATTTGGCCAGCCTTATCGTTAGTCTTGAAATATTCGTGCTAATAATCCAGAGATTGTGCAAAAGGTGAGAAACTATTTCAAAACCAGAGCCTGTCTAAAAGTTATTTTTAGTCTATGTTTTATTATAATCAACTTCATGTTGACGCCATATTTGTTTAATCAAATAGTCAAAGGCAAGGTATTAATCCATAATCTGTGTGATAATACGGTTGTGAATGAAAAGTTTAGCATCTAACACAACTCATACGATTATAGACCCGTAACATAACATTTCTATGTTGTCCGAGAATTAGCCCATAATAAATCAAATTACTACATAAAAATCAAATTGCTTCAATTAAAATTGAAACTTTAAATCGATCATGCACAATTACTTGTAATATTTTTTCGAAACAAACATACCTAGTGACGATGAGCAAAATCAAAACATAAATCCATAAATCACTTTTCCTTTCCATTAACATCATGCTTTTTTGTGAATTAGTGACTAGAGCCATATGGGTTTGCAACCAAAACTTTAACGTTCGATACCCGCCTCGGACAACCTGATGTCAAGCAGCAGTGATATCGACCTAAAAATATAGATAGTAATATGTTTGCAAGTGAAAATAGACCTCATCCGACATTGTTCCATCAATAAAAAGTTAATCAGAATTGTAGAAATTGTAATAATAAAATTTATTAATTTGAGATAGGTTAACCGTTTGGGTTGCCATTCGTTACTAGTTAAATTATGATTAGTCCAGTCATTTAAGCTTGACTTAGGTAAGATGTCAATACCATATGTAGGTTTTGGGACAACTTTAAGGTGTCAATATACAAGTATTTACAGACTTGTAGCTGGGTATCTCAAATTCCGAAGTGTACTTACTATAATGATTGGACTAGATTCCTTTTATTAATATGTAACAAACTAACATCAATTATTTCTATTAATAATTATTTTTTCCTCCAGGAATCGTTCCTTAATGGAAGCCCTAGCGGCCAAAGGCTATAACATAACTGCCTTAAGCGTCGACATAGACAAAGAGCCAGCGGCCAACCTGCACTACATTCTCATAGAAGACGTCTACAAAGCAATCTACGAAGAAGAAAACTTCGACCTGATCGCATACGCTTCCCTAGACATCTACTCCAGCATCTCCGACCTCATGAAATACTTCGCCATCTCCAATCGCGCCATTTTGAGATCTCAAGGTCTCCAAACCCTCCTACGCTACCCTGATGACTTCCACTTCGACTTGGTAGTATACGACTACAGCTCCTTCCCTAGCATCCTTGGTATCCTCCAAAAATTCCACAACCCTCCCGTGGTTGGCGTCAGCGCATTCATGAACCCTCCAAACACCTACGACGCATCTGGCAACCCCATTTTTGCTTCTTTGAAACCTTACTACGCAACAACCTTCACGCCGGTGATGAATTTCTGGGAGAGGTCAGTAAATCTGTTCTACTACGTGGTCGATAATTGGGCGAGGAAGAAGGATGTGGAGGATGCCCAGGAGCTGATGGAGAAGGTTTTTGGAAAAAGCGCTGGAAACGCAAGGGAGTTGGAGAGGAGGATCGAGTTGTTTTTGGTCAACGTGCACCCGTCGATAGATGTTCCTGAACCGCTGCTGCCTAACGTCATACCTGTCGGGGGTTACAGGTTAAGCAACCTAAGGAAGCACCACAGGTAAGGGTAAAGATAATACAAATATAATTCATAATCAATACACCTTCAAATAATGATTCTGACTCGATAAATCCTGATTGTGAAAACTTATTGATTTATTATATCTCTTGTAACTTTTAAACAATTCTATTGTTATAAATGATGTATCAGACAAATTTATACAAAAGTTAGGGACCCATTCTGCCGCATAACAGACAAATGTTATGGCAAGGCCATGTTATGAAGAACTTTCCAAACTAAATATTGACAAAAGGCATGTGGTTGCTGTGCAGTCACATTTTTTTCTCAGGTTGTCAGATAAAAAACCTAACCTAGAAACCTCACAAATGTTAAAAAAACGATCTTAGATAATAGAGTCTTTCTGACCCAGCTTCATAACATACAAGTGAAGTTACAAGTTTATGTGTAAAACGCCTGAATGCACAGCAAATACATGCATTTTGAATGTATTCAGTATGATTCAGTAGCATAATGCATGGAAGTTGGAGTGTAACATGGCCTTGCCATAACATTTTTCTGTTATGCGGCAGAATCGGTCCCTTAATTTTGTACAACATTGACAATTTACGCTTTCTATTAACACCAACGTTTGTCTTTTCCTTTTAGGACATCAAACGGTTCATAGAGTCTTCCAAAAAAGGAGCCGTCCTGTTCAGCCTCGGTTCCAATGTGAAGAGCGAAATGTTAGGAGAAGAACGCATTCGAATGTTCATAAAGGCATTTGCAAAATTCCCCGATTATCACTTTTTATGGAAATTCTCTAACAAGGAGAAATTGAATTTACCTAAAAATGTCCTGTTGCAAGATTGGATGCCCCAAAACGACATATTAGGTAATACAAAATTATTAAAACTTAATAAAATAAAAACTGTTAAGAAATTGTTGGAATTATGATCAATTTTCAATTTCCAGGGCACCCAAAAACTGTACTATTTATGACACATGGTGGTCTCCTCAGCACCCAGGAGTCTCATTGGCACGGAGTACCCATGTTGGGGATACCGTTCTTTGCAGATCAGCACACAGTAAGAAAATTTATAAATATTTTAGCAAACTAGTGGTGCATAGCTCTAAACGCAAATTGCTGGAACTTCCCGTACCAAAAACTAAATCATTAAAAAATACTTTGCAACACTTTGAAAAAATTACATTTTTTGAGAAATTTTGAAATTTTTGTAAAAAAAATTGACTTTTTTATATTTCGATTTTCTTGTATTTTATTTTTTTTTTTGAAAATTTTAAACACTTTTTTAAGCAATAGCGCTGTATAGCTGATTTGGAGTCGAATTCGATGTATATATGTCTAGTGTTCATTTTTGAGGGGTCAAATGGCATTATTTTTTACTTTTTCTATTGGATCTCCGGAGACGCTGAACCTGCTTTTACAAAAATTTTACCAGTTGTTCATATCGTCAACACAAGTAAAATGTTTTCTGAATTATTTAAATCGGACGTTTCGTTATCTCAAAAACTAAAATACCATTTTTCGCACTTTTTGCCCCGTATCTTCGAACCGGCTAGACCTGCCCTTGTCAAAAACTTATGAGCACATCTACTCCTCATCAGTAAGAATTATACAAGGAGTAGGAGTACGTTTTTTGAATAATTCAAATCGGCTGATCCGTGTTCCCGAAATAGTCGACGAAAATTTGTATCCGCACGCACACACACACTCACACATAGATATATTTTTTCTAAGGTATGCCAAAATGTTCAGAAACTTCTGAAATGTAAAGATCAATTAAAATTTTCATTTTAGATTTTTTGCGATTACTGTAGGAAGTTAATTAACGTGTCGAAGAAGTTATATGTGAAAAAATCCTATTTGCTAATTTTATATTTTCTCGACGTTTCAAGTCGTATTGAATCGTTCGACATCAAAATTGGGAAAAGCATGAGTTTGTATTTGCAGTTTTGTACCTTTTTCAAAACAGACTGCACCGATTTAAAAACTTTAGAAATCTTTCGACCAGAATTTGCTTTTATTAGTTTTGCGCCGCGATTGATATCTTTATACAAGAAATTTCTTTAAGTAGCCATTTTTTATGAAAAGCAAATAAATGCATCCGTGCGAAGTAGTCGACGTTTTTGCCAAAAACCATGAACCAAATTAAAAAATTTCAAAAATTGATTAAAACATTGATTAAAACTTGCTTTAAGGCAAAATGCCACTTACACCTACAGCTTTTGTTTATAAAAATAATAGTTTTATTAGTTTCATTAAATTCATATGTACGCTTGCCATGCATATCCAAGCCTAAGTTAAAATGTATCATACATAATGTATGGGCAAGCGTTCTGTTAGGTTAGGACGGCATGGCAAGTCTCGTGATTTTTTTTAGAATTCAATCTATCAGTCCATTATGTATTCATTGCAACAACTTTGGAAGTTCCAAATCCCAATTGGTATTAAATTTTAGAAATGCTAAATCCTAATTGTACTTGATTATGTCTATTAAATTATTTACACATTCAGGGGAGGACCAATAAACTTGTTTGTTTTAAGACAAAATGCCACTTACACCTAGTTATACAAATTTGTTTTTATTTGCAGAACATGAAACGTTCGATTGATGCTGGAGTAGCTGAAAAACTAGACATTTTTAATTTATCCGAGGAAGCTATCATTGCCAAATTGTCGAGGATGCTCTCTGAACCCAGGTAACAACAATTTATAAATGAATATATATATATATATATATATATATATATATATATATATATAACTAGCTGACCCGCCAAATGTTGTTTTGCCATAAAAAAATTATTGTAATAATAATTCTAAGTATAAAATGCTTAGTACGAAAATAACTAACTGATTGCAAATGTGGTGCATAAGTGAAAGAAGCAGCTACCAAAAAATACATGAATAGTTTACCCACTGCCAAGCACGCCACATATAAATGTCCTTTAATAGTCTTTGCAAGAGCCAACTTAATCTAAAACTCATTATATTTAAATGAATACTGCAATACAAAATGAAAATAAAAATACAACAAAAACAGTTCACAAACGACAGCAAACATTTTCAAAAAATGAATAACCATTTTCTAAAGAAAGAGACATTCGTTTTTTGGAAATGTCAAATTAATCACAAAAGATTTAAAAAGCTAGGATGTAAGTTTATAAAAATTTTAAATTGTCTAGAAGCAAAAGGAAGAGCTACGTTTATTAATCCTAGAAAAAATTAAACAAACAAATAAATAAATAAAACATGAATCTGCAAATATTCTTAACTTTTTTTTCCAAATTACATATAATGCTTAGTATAATTATGAAATGTGTGTTTAAATTTACTCATATATGCTGAAAACATGGTTTTGATGTGGTTTGGATTTTTATTATTATAAATTGGCTTATTCATTTATTTAAAAATATATTGAGATTTTTTTCTATTATTTAATATTAATTAAAACATTGCAATCCACTTTAGTAATAGTCAGTAATTTAATCTTTAACAGTTCTGGAAAAAAGAGCTAAAAGAATTCTTTCAGTTTGTTGTCAAATTAGTGGTGTATGACATTGTACCTTAAAACTTAACTCAGACAAAATTTGATTTTTGAGAATTTTGAAATTTTTGAAAAAATTGACTTTTTTAAAAAAAAAAGAATTTTTGTTTAAATTTCGTAATATTTTGGAAATTTTGAACTTCTTTTCAAAGCAATCGCGCTGCTTTAGCTGCATGGACACGAAATATGGAAGCGCTTAAGCGCCGCGTCGCTGTCTTACGATCAAAGTTACGGAACCCATGTTAACAAAATCTATACGTATTATTAGAATCTCTAAAATAACTGATAATTTAAAGTGCATGTCTGCAAGGATCATTTTTGACCGCCAAATGGCATTTTTTTACTTTTTTTTACTCCATCTCCGAAACCGAAAGACCTGCCCTCCCAAAAATTTTATCGTGTTTCAGAAATCGTCAAATCGTTTAAGGTAAATCATCTAAGTTATACCAAAATGTTCAGAAACCTCTGAAACGTAAAGATATATCAAAAATTTCATCTTCGATGAAAAGACGTGCTAAGGTTTTGGACAAAGACAGGGTCCAGCGACTTCGGAGGTATGGAGCAAAAAGTGCTAAAAATGACAGCTTTTAGGAGAG